GTTTTTTTTTTTTTTTTTTTTTTTGCCAATTAATGACATTTAAAAAACAAAACTCAAAACCTAAAAATCTACCATTTGTTATCATCACTTTACAAAGAAAAGTCATTTTAGCATCAGCAAAGGACATGACTATTACATCCACATGGTTTTAAAAATATTAAAACATTTTAATATTTTTATAAAATGCTAAAATTCTTTGGATGTAGAAAAGTTACAAGATAAAATCATATTCTTCCAGGGGAACAAAAAATGAACTTTCAATATCTAACTTGTTATAATATTTCATTTCTAGCATAGTCACATTTTAAAACAATCTGGGTTCACCTGGATGCATTGATACCCATAGAGGCATATTATTAATGCTCTTTTAACTCAATTCAGAATATTTGAAGTAAACTTTGAGAAGTCCAAGAAAAACAGCACTCAGTTACACAACCATTACTCCAACTTCTTCTCTGCACTGATGAGAAGAAATAGTTCAGATGGTAAGCCTTGGAAAATTCTGGAAAACAGGCTAAACACTTTCATAATCAGGGGATCTTGATTGTCTAACATAGAGCAGTTAAAAAGTTATCTGAGAAGTAATTCCTTAGAACCTAATACTGTCACAAACTGTCTCTTAGGAACCAGTAACGTGAATCTTGTAATTTAACATAATTTGCCCTCTGCTTTGGTTGCTAGAATACTTAGTGCAGAATTAGTGACAGGACCCATTACTAACATTACTATATTACTAACTTTATTCCTGGTTTTATTTTGTCTTTGATCAGAATTTCTGCAAATGTGTCAACTCATTTTAGGAAAAGATATATGTAAATACAGAAAAAAAAAGGCTTTTATTTTTTAGGGAATGAGGAAACACTTAACATTTGTTTTTTCAAGAATGTTTATTGAAATTTTTTCTTATAAAAGTGAAATATGTGCAGAAAAGAATAAAAATGAAAATATAAACAACCAACATTCTTGCTCCTCAGTAGCATGTAACTATAAGAAAATCAAAAGAATTAAAAAAAATAAAAAAGGAAATAAAAAAAATAACCAGCAGATAACCTAGTACACTTTGGAATCCATAACTACAAAGCCTCCACTTTTACCAAGCATAATATTTATGCTACCTTGGAAGACTTGTAAACATAACTAGATATAATATTTAAATTATTAATAATATATGGATAACTAAGCTCCAAATTACAATTGTTTTCAGGAATTACTAATTCTCACCAAGTAATTATTATTGAAGCCGAAGGATAAAAGATGTAAAGAAAAATCAGATTTTTACCTCAGCTGCTTACATTAGTAGTGATATTAATAACAAAATAAATTTAAGAGAAAAAATAGTTTGAGGGAAAAGAGTAAACTTTGAACAAACTGAGTTTGAGGTATCAGAATATCTGGTTGGAGATTCCCATGCTAGTTAGCTCAAAATCTGTCTGGAATTCAGAAGACTGGGTGCTATTATAGGAATTAAGTAGAAGCAGGGAACACAAACCATCCTTTCAAAAATGTATCCTTGTAAAGATGAAAGAGTGGCTTTAAGAGCAGGGAGGAGAAAGACCACATATATACAGCTACCTTGCTGATGCAGTTAGAATGGCATGTGCACTGAAAAGTGATCAGTAAGCTTTCCAGTCTCACTCCCCACTGTACCTTGTATATATTTTCATCATACCATATATCATACTTAATTTTAATTATCGGTTTTGATGTCTGCTTGCCCATTAGACTGTAAGCTCAATGAAGCCCACTGTACCTTGTATATATTTTCATCATACCATATATCATACTTAATTTTAATTATCGGTGTTGATGTCTGCTTGCCCATTAGACTGTAAGCTCAATGAAAGTAATGATCATGTCTTCTAAATCCTGGCACTAAAGATGAAAATAATTCCTATTTTTTGAATGAAGCAATGAATACATAACTTTGTGCTATCAATCATACACATCTAGAGCAAAGCTATCTAAATTAGACACAGTCCATGGCCAAGGAATAGCTCTCAAGTCTTCAAGAACTTTTAAAATTCATTTTAGAGTTGCTGTAAATTAGTGTGACTCTTCTCAGAGTCCCATTCTTTAGAACATTTTCTACTTCACTTCACAGGTGGAAGTAGTAATAGTAACTGTGACAACAGCAGCATCCAGAGTGACATCTCCACTCTTCCCAAAACTGTGCAACAGCCTCCCCCTACCACTCAAGTTAAAGCCAGACCCCATTACGTCTCTTGGCCTAATAACCAACTACTCTCCTTCTGGTTCACTCTGCTCCAGTCACACAACACTGGCATTTTCCCTGTTTTTCCATGAAGCCAAGAATGATCTTCTACCTTGGTTTTAGGATTGATACACTATTCTCTCCACCTAGAACACAATTCTTCTAGTAACCTGTACGTTTTACCTCTTTTAAGTCAATGCTCAAATAACTTTTATCACGAGGCCTACAAAAAACTGACCACACTCTTATAACTGGAAGCTAACCCAGCCATTCTGTTACCCCAATCCCTTGTGTTGTATATATCACTTACTATGTTCTAACATGCTACATAATTTAACTGTTTATTTTGCTCAATGCTTATTTACTATCTGTCCTTGTTAGAATATAAGCACCACAAAGGCAGGGATCTTTGTCTAAAATTTACTAATACATCCCAAGCACCTAACATAGTACTTAGTTCAATATTTTCGAAAAATGAGTAGCTCACTATGTGCCATTGTTCTAAGAGTTTTACGTGCATTATATAATAATTTAATCTTCACAAGAACCTTGGAGGGCTATCATTGAGTCCATTTTATAGAAAAAGAACTAAGATACGAAATGGCTAAATGACTTACAAAGGCCTTAGAGCTAAGAAAGTGGTAGAACTAGGATTCAGACTCAGTCTGCTCCCAGAGGCAGAGTTATTAACTATTACCATCTTCCCTAATAGAAACATGTGTAGAAGCAGTCAGTAAATGACAGAACAGGTATAGGAAACTTCCTTGCTTCTACAGTAAACAGAAAGTGAAAAGCAGAGTACAGTATTTTCGAAAAAAAAGTACAAAAATATGGCATTTTCGATTGTGGTTGCTTGAAGCCAGGGATGCTCAACCTGCATGGGGGACTGGAGCATACTTAAATGTTGGTATTTGTGGGGTCCTGGAACCAATCCTCTGTGGATAACAAGGGACGACTGTATACAAGGCTGCTAAATCCAAGGACCAACTGAAATGGTACCTAAAGCCATTAATCACCTACAAGATCATCTTGATATTGATTACCCCTTTCTGAAGGTGAGAAATATTCAAAAAACAAAACTTTTTTAAGGAAATAAGACTTCAGTTAATCATATTTTTCAAAGCCACTCTCCTAATATGGTGTATGAATTAAATGTGCACCATGGGGAATTTATCTTTTTGCCTACTCACTCTATTTCAGCTGCTGTTGAGTAGAACACAACAGCTTTATAAATTCCCCGTTAGGTATTTCTCCACATTTTTAATGTTTCCTCAGTTAAGGATTCCCATATTACAAATGTTATGTGAATAAGGAAAGTCAGTTAAAGAAGCATGGCTCTCAGAGTTAGAAGAAAATTTCAGAGATCGATGCTTAGTAAACTTGCCATCTTCCTGAGAGGATATACAGCAACCCTGAGAGACTGGGATTAGAAGAGCCAGAAACTCCCATTCCAACACCTTTTCAAAGTTCTTCATTTCCAAAGTTCTGTTATTGGTATTGACTGTGCAAACATTTTATTTTAAAAAAATGAGTAAGAAGAAAGCACATATCGAATATCTTAGAATTTGTGGAAGCAATGTCTTTACATTCTTTTGGCAATATATATTCCTCCAGAAGCAAAAATTATGCTGATTAATAGATACATCATAGGAAACTAAAATAATTAGAATAGAGAAAAATCATACCTTCTATCAATAGCTCTTGTCCATGACTGCCAAGAAGTGTACGAGATAGGAATGGGGCAAAGTCTACAAAAATTTCACGAAGAAGAGGAGCAACTTTTTCTAAAGCTCTTTCAAGTTTTGCAGTGATGCTGTTGAAATTAAGACATAAAGACTAATAAATATAATTCAATATAAAATGTCAAACTTTACTAAATTAAATCTTTAAAAATCATGAAAGTCCAATTCTAGCCCATGTTATAATTACAAGTTTCCGTAGGAGGGACACCTATACAGTTTCACATACAGTCATAAGGCTACTCAAAAGATTGCAGCTATATTAGAATGACTATACTGTGAAAAGGAATTGGGGTTCTACCACCTGAAAGGGCCAAAGATTCTTTTCATAGCTCTAGGAGCATTGAAAAAATGAGTTCTTATAAGCCTTCTCTGTCTATCCATCTATTCATCAAAGAAAAATGTTTTGAACACCTACTGTGTGGATCACTGTGACAGTTACAAAGAATTTAACTCTTAGTCTCAAGGAGGTTCCCTGAAAATCTAGACAAATAATGGAATAAACTGGAAGTCAGAGTAATACAATTGAACTGCTTTGCCAAAGCAGCATTTTTCCATTTCATAAGCCCATTTAGTTTTATCAAGCCCTGAGTTATTATCTATATTGCTCACTATTCAATTTTAAGTTAACAACCTTACATAAGCACTGTTTGACATTTTTAAAAATAAGTAACTGGAAGTCAGAGTAATACAATTGAACTGCTTTGCCAAAGCAGCATTTTTCCATTTCATAAGCCCATTTAGTTTTATCAAGCCCTGAGTTATTATTTATATTGCTCACTATTCAATTTTAAGTTAACAACCTTACATAAGCACTGTTTGACATTTTAAAAAATAAGTGGTATATATAAAAGAAAAAAAATGGATGAAAAAAATATTTTTGCTCAGCCAAATGAGTAATTTGCTAACAGATCTATCTCTCTTAGAAGTACTTTGGACCTAGCAAGTGACCTTGGACACATTAGGCTTTTTAAGTCTGCAAAATGAAGTTAATCACAGCACCTATCCAGTGAGGATTAAGTAAATTAAGCCATGTTAAGTGCATAGGAAAGTACCTGGCACACAGTGAGAGGCCAATAATGTAAGCTTTTGTAACTGTTACTTTTAATAAAACATACCCATATTTACTCTTACAAAATGTGACTCTGATACATTAAACAAAACAAAATCAGTATAATAATATATAATAATGTTAGATGAGCACACATTCTTCTACACAGAAGACAGGTATAGTAAGGAATTAAACAAACCTTCAAAGTGGTAAAAGTTTTGCCACAATACCTAGGTAACATTTTTGTTACATATAGGAAAAACTTATAAATGAAAAAAAGGTAATTAACCAAAAAATAATTTGCAATATATTACCAATATTTTAAGTGACTAAATAAGAATTACGGAATAATCTAGGATATCCTCTTTCTTAACTTGGAAACAGCAAGTTTTGAATCTGTACACTCAAAGCCTCACCATTAGCACTTCTATTTAACTTTGTCTCCTCTTATCTGGGTCAACGGCTTTAGGGAAAGAAGAAAGCACAGAGGAAACTGAGGTTTAGTCACATGTATACACATTTAGAATATTCTGGAGGAACAACTGTAGGCCAAAAAAACGGACTTGGGTGAGGTTTGGCAGACTTGAAGACACGAATTTTCAATATTCTCTACTCTGTTATCCCTGAAGCAAGCACCTCTACTGAGACAGTGGGTTCCAAGCTTTAGTGTGGATCAGATCACCTGGAAAGCCTGTGATCTGCTAGAACCACACCCTACCCCCAGTTTCTGATTCAGCAGATCCAGTTTACTGTGAGAATCTGCACTTCTAATATATTCTCAGGTCAAGCTGATGCTGCTGATCCAAGAAACACACTTTGATAATGACTGTTTTAATAAGAGTATTTACTACTAGTAAATTAATAAAAAAGCTAGTGATAGAAAGGCTACTTGAAGTCATAGGATAATCATAATCACTGTAAATTACCTCTGAATTTTAGTGAAAACAAACAGAGTCTCTTTTGGGATCTACTATTTCATTAATTCCTTCTAATCTCCAGGATCATGTCTTGTGATTTTTCCCAGCTAAACTAATTCCCTTTACTAAGGAAAAGTAACTAAGAATAGTAAGAGCAAGTCTATGAAGAGAAGAAAAAATCTAGAGATAATGATCATTAACAGTTTCTGAAACTGAATTCTGACTGAAGCATGAATAGTTATTTTTATTTAAGATTAACAAATGGGAGTAAAATTACTTTCGAAAAATTCTAGATTCATAGAAGTTCATATCACAGCTATACTACTGGGTTTAATGTACTGTTATCTAATTAAAGCCAGTGACATTTTTTCCCAGTTTGAGAACTTTTCCTCCTATTTTACAGGTTTCTATATGATTGAGAAGAATCAAAATTACAAAAATATTGTTCTTGGTGATTAAGTTAAATATCAAATAGAAAGTTCAATTAATCTGAGCAACTGATTACTCCTGTTGTTGTGTGTGTGTGTGTATAAATATGCATTAATTAGCAATACCTTGACTTAAGGGTTATGGATGAAAACAGACATTTCTTAGCAAGTGAATCCCTATAATAGGACTTTTGCAAATGTTTTCTTATAAAATTTAATAGAATATTAAAGGTTGCTCTTACATATCATTCTGCAATGATAATTTTAACTTTTAATAAAGGAAAACAATGTAACATTTTACTCAACAAGAGATCAAACGTTTTAAGTACAGAAACCATTATCAACTAATACTGCTAGATTTCTTGATCAAACAACGAAATATTTGAAGGGGAAAAGTTTCATCATCACTTTTCATAGTGAAGAAAATGGACAGTTTTTTTGTTGTTAATATTTACAGATTACCCACAATGTAATTCAAAGGAGGATAAACACTGTATAAAGTATGTGATCTTCATCCTTACCCAATTTAAATTCTCAAAGGAAATGGTACAACTATAAACTTCAGCTTAAGACCCTTCTTTCTTACCTGGCAAATAAAGATCTATTACCAGCACCCGCCCCCAAAAAAACCCAACAACAACAAAAAATACATATTGTGCCTATATTATTATTTTGTTATTTCAGAGAAACACATAATGTAAAACTCCTTTTTCCCAATTCCAAGGCATATATGAGAATGTTATTTAACAGGTAAAAAAAGAATTGAAAACCATGTTAACATAGGAGAACTCCATGGCCTTAAGTCCTATAAAATAAATGAATTTTTCTCTTTAAAAAAAATATATAAAGAACATATAACCACTAGAATAAAACGAGGCATTCTTTTAGCAAATTATTTTGTAAGAAAAATTAGCATATTTAACCAACTTCAGGGAAAAAATTAAATGGTAAGTTTTCAGTTTTCTTTGAATGTTTATTTTTATCCAATGGAAAACATTCATCAGTCTAAGACACTTCATGCACAGAAATAATACAAAGGTGCACTAGATGGGGAGTCTAGCCTACTAGAGTCTAAGTGTAATCTTACACTGTAGTAACTTCTTAACATATGAGAGGGTTCTTGGGCCTAAATACAGGACATGTCAACTCTTTGGGCTCAACTGCATACTATTTCAAGCCACTCATTTCATTCTCCCTATTCTATTCTTTTTTATCCCTTTCAGCCACATTATTGATGCTTAAGATGCTTGATTGGTGACTATTGTGACTTTGGCTATTTTTACTGATAGCTAAGTGTAAACTCCTACACTTAAGAAAAAGAATTACTGGCTTCCATGAAGAAAATTCCTGTTGCAACTTAAGAAAGTTATCAACTACTCTAACAAAATTACCAACTCTAGGAAAACAAAACATTCAAAAAAATAATAATGCTTTAGATGAAATTCTATAGCTCCAATGCTGGAATTGAAACAATATAACTTAAAACATAAGAGCTTATTTTTACAGTTTTTAAAAAATACAGTTATGTACTGGCTTTTACCTATACTAAGTCTTGTTCACAGGCAATTCTAAGAAATTTATAGTAATAAAAATATAACTAATCCATTGGAGAAAATAATGTATGAAAACCCATGTCTACAATTATCACCAAATCTTACCAAGTGTGGCTTCAAGACATATCCAAAGCCATGGTGATTATAAGTACATGAATCAGTGAAAAAAAGTAAGATCATAATCACTGTAAATTACCTCTGAATTTTAGTGAAAACAAACAGAGTCTCTTTTGGGATCTACTATTTCATTAATTCCTTCTAATCTCCAGGATCATGTCTTGTGATTTTTCCCAGCTAA